ACCGACCAACTTTCATGCAAAAAACTAGTAATTATGTACCTGTAGGTCCGTGCGGCTCTACAATGCACCACCTTCACCCCAACCGACGCTCCTCCTGCTGCATGCCGGAAAGGGCCAAAACACGGCCAATACGAAACCAAGTGTTAGGCTACAGCGCAGGGATCATTCCTGCTATTAGCGACCTGCGAATTTAATGCGAAAACGCATGGTCACACCGGCAAGCCTAGTGCCTTCCAGCCTGGGTTATCTTCACCTATAAACCACAGATCCTTAAAACGGATGAAGTTAAAATTTCAAAATTTTACATGCGAAAATAATGATTACGTAAATGGCCAGGAAAAATTAAAAATAATGTTAAATTCTAGGTCACCGGCCCAAGGCCATAATCCCTCCTCCTCCGCTATCTCTGCACCTCTTACTCGAAATGCGTGAAAGTCTACATTCTCTGCCTTGAGATTTATAAGCAAAATGCTTCTAACTGCTAATTTTTTATGCGTTTTTTGCAGTCATGCAATGCAGAAAACGCATATTGACGAGAGGTTGTCTTTGTGTGCGTATTTCACGCACTTTCATCTCAAGACCTATAAAAGCTGCGGGGCTGAAATTTCGGGAAATTAATCTACGTGCACGTGCCAGCCCCAATCCCCAAAATGGGCGCCAACACCCTCGTGGTACCCGCGCACGGGCCCGCCAAATTTTTTTTTGGAGTTAGTTCATAACTCGGGGATCTGAGAAGCTGGAACGCTGAAATCTTACAGGAATGTTCCCCGTCCAAGTAGGTGTTAATGCACTCAAACTCATCCCCTGGTTAAGCGTGATACCCGCGTACGGGCCCGTCAAAATTTTTTTTCGGGTAAGTTCATAACTCAGGAATCTGAGAAGCTAGAACACTGAAATCTTAGGGGAATATTCCCCGTCCATGTAGGTATTAACGAGTTCAAACTCTGCTCGCGAGTAAGCGTGGTACCTGCGTACAGGCCCTTGAAAGTTTCTTCCGGGTAAGTTTCTAACTTGGGAAAGTGAGAAGCTAGAAGACTGGAATTTTGAAGGGGTGTTTCCTGACAGTCCTGGAGGCTAGTCTGAAATTCTTTTAGCTAGAAGCATCTGCCAGAAAAGCCAGTGCCTTTAGCGACAAAAATCTGCGGGGAGCTACGCAAAAAACGCATCTTCGCACGGGCAGCCCGTGCGTTGGCCAATTATTCAAGATTATCAGGACAGCTCTGATAATAGACGGGAATGCTGTATCTGCATTCTCCAAACACAGACCTCTGGGTGCATATCTAGCGAGCCATTCGTTATTCAGCTGCACATCTCCAGTCAGTACCAGCTGCACTATGTACGAGAGCTACCCTTCTCGAGATCGACGTCTTCTCCCCCCTTCCTACGAGTACCGCTACCCGATACGCTACGCCCACATGCTACAATAAAGATTGCGAAAGGGTTTGTCTTTGAAATAAAACTCATATCGTTCACACAGTACATTTCACAAGGGGTCTAACTCTTCATATTTTCAGAAAGTGAGACTTCACGCATCTTCCATTCAAATTTTACGTTTTCCAATTATATGCAAACAAAACCTATGGATTTATTGTGCTTTCTTACAGGCTCCTCCTCTCCCTCCCCTCCTTCCTTCCTCCCTAACCCCTGACGCGAAGAGTCGCGATTGACCTTCGCGAATCTTTTAAGCTGTTGTTTTCGTGTTGTCGATACCGGCATCAGCTAGGGAGGATGATCTGGAGAGAACTGGAGGAAAATCACCAGGTCGAGGGCATAGGGATGGTGAGAGCTGGGTTGGGAGTGGGAATGGAGGACGGCGCGTGCGGAGGTGCGCTGAACGGCAAAAGTGGAAGAACAGAACGGCGCGTGCGGTGGTGGGCTGAAATGAAAGAAGGGAGAAGAGGTCGGCGTGCGGTGGAGCGAAGGAAAGGGAAAAAATAGGAATTTCGGGTCCGTGGTGGTTTGGATGGTTTAATTGGGGAGAATTTTTTGGTGATTTTAATAGAACTGTTTCGGGACATTTGCTCTTGTGATTTTATTTGTGTGTTCCCGATTCGCTTGAAGAAAATTGTTGTTGGACGTGTTGTTGTGGAGGAAAAAAAACTAGATTACTGAATTGCGTGGCAGCAGTGGTTGGTAATTCCAGAACTTATCTTTTTTTCTGTCCGAGATCAGGAATTCTGCAACCCCCCCCCCCCCC